ACACTTACATACACTGACGTTTTTCACTGAACAGACCAAAGACATTATAAAGATAGACCGAACATCTCATTCATAAATACTCGTTGGTAGTGTATCAAACATTAAAATGTGTCAAACAAGGACAGAAGAGACAGAGAAGTCTAAAATTTCCGACCCCGGCAACTAGGCGCATTTGGATTGTTCTAATGGCCAGTGGCGTATCGTTTTTTGGAACGAATTTAATTAGTAAATAAAAGTAAAGTAATTAGTAAAATTTTTACTCCATACTAATATACTACATTAACACTTTTACGTTAAATGAGTTTTGTTATAAGGTCTAATATAATAATATAATTAATATCCCACATATACTTATGTTGAAATGTTAGTAGATAGTTTTCGAAAATCGCTCCAACGTCGATATTCAATTTAAACTTTCAGTTACTTCTATATAAACACTCAGTTACTTTTGAATACTTACAGGGTGACTCAGGCTTCCGAAACAGTTCTATATTAGGTTTGTGGTTAGTGACTTTTCTTTCAATTTTTTTTTAGAATATGGAGACACAGAATGGTAAAGCACGTTTTAGACATTTTTGTAATCATAGGTGCCGGAACATATTTTCAAACTAAAGTTGTAGATTTGCCATTAAATTTCCATTCCAGAAATACCTAGGGTTGCCACCTGTCCTTTTTTGAAAAGGACAGTCCTTTTTTGGAATAACTTGTCCTTTTGACTTTTTTTGACTTAAAAAGTCATTTTTATTTACGTATTTTCCCTGAGAGAAGAAGATAACTTAGAACTTCCCGTTTAATCTCTGAGAAAATTACCCACAGCAAACAGAAATATTCTTTTCGTCCAAATTTAATTAGAGATGTTATAAAACTTATACGTAAATTTTTCTTGTTTAGAATAGGCAACATTATTCGAATATGATTAGAATTTCCCGTTTAATCTCAAATCATAGTTTAGGTTTTAGTTTTACCTTTTATGATCTTAAAAAAGAACTTTTCAAAATTAGTAATTAGTAACGATTTAGTTAGTTCGCAATCGATAGCTTCCTGTGAAGTACTGTGTAATAGTTGTTTATCTTGTATTATTAATAACTTCCTATACCTAAAATCAATATTTATTTTAATCCTTTTAGTCTCTCAATAGAGGGCATTTATCATTAAAAGTATCAAATCTGTGTGCTACAGTATGGGATTTCTGTCGCATAATAATGAATATTATGTTTATTTACAAATCCATTACTTAGGTAGCTTAATCAGACAATCAAATTTTAGTTAAACGTCCCAATCTTCCTGAACTGTATTAAGCATATGTATTGAATCACCATGTATGTTGACAAAAATATTTTGAAAATGTGCGTTACAATGGCCCCTGATCTTATGTAAAGATTGAAATAAAAATCACAAACCAAAAACGTAATAGGTAAAAAGCTTTTTGGAGGCCTGGGTCACTCTGTATATAGGTATGTATAAAACTAGTAGCCTAAGAATTATTTATAGTTCGTCCCATTCTAAAAAAGGTAACACACCGTACAAATAACTCTAGGAAGAGGTATTTGTATTGTACGGTGGTAAAAACTTGTCTAAACAAGACCGAAGGGGCAGATACAAGATATAATTAAGCAATAAAATGTAAAAAGGTCGGGTAAACACCTTTGTTTATTTGTTGAGCAAAATTCCTTTAGAATATCGTATATAAAGTTTCAAATGCAACGTTTATATTCAAATTTGTTATGATCTACAACAGTTAGGTAGTAATTGAGACGAATTATAATTCAATTACCGGCTACTATGTTCTTGTTTTAATAGATCAAAATTCAACAAATATAATTAGAAATTATTTTAATTTTGAGAGGCTCCCTTGTAGGACGCCTATGTACGATTACGGCGGATACAATACCTACCTGTGAAAAGACAAATTTGGGTAATTTGAGCTTATTTTTCCACAAATTTGACACTGCCCTACCATATTGAAAATTCGCAGATTCAAATGTACGTTAAACAAAAACAAAAACTATTGAAAACCACTGAAAAGTTCACTTCAGCCTTGATTCCGACTTCAAACACACCGTAAGCTAAACCGGTGGCTAAACGTAGTACGCTATAACGGACCAAGGGCCGTCGCGAGGGGTGGTGGGACGGACGGCTCATTTCATTCTGGAAGACTAGCAGCGACGTTACCAATAGTTCTAGACGTTTCAGCATATTTAACAGTAAACATGTCCTTTAATAGTAACGCATAGATCCTCTGGTTAATAACATATTATTACGCATGCTTCTTTAAAGATAAACTATTAATTTAATTAAGAAATTGAGATTTATTGATATCCGGTGAAGGTTTTAAAGTCACCTTTTCTGCAAATCAAACTAAGTAGATAGGCGCAAATTTGAGATGTGGCAATGTCGCCTTCTCTATCTCAGTTGGTTTTTACAGTACGTAGTCAACCTCCGGTAGTTTGATCGGGTTAAAATGCACAATGTGATATCTGTTCTTACTAAATCTATGGAACAGACCTACCGGATCGTTCAATATCTTGCAATATATCAAAGTGTATGACAACTTTAGCGTTCAATTTATCCTCGCTTCGAATACAAAATCCATGGCTAACTATTCAGCAACTTAATAATTGTCTTCGATAGGCGACGCGCTGTGGACTTGGTTTATATTAAAAGTACGTTTAATAACTTATAAAACGAATAACTTTCTGATAGTAGTGGAGCAGGCCGATCGATTTAAGTTCGTTAAATTTAATTAAGCCTTAAATAGAGTTAAGCTAACGAATTTAACTGCTTAATGATTAAGAAATAATGACCTGCAATGAAAATAACGATATTAATGCATGCACTATTTGATGGATTTTAATTTATGTCTATATTTATAAAATTTTATTATACCTAATTATTCATTAACTGTTATTTGTAAACATTTCATTAATATCAAGTTTATCTTCCATTTGTTTTCATGATGTTTCATGGGATTTCAGAAATGTTTTTGTAACAAAATATCTACTCGGACCAACATTGTCTTTAATTTTAAAATTTTAAACAAAGTTTATTCAATTTTATACAATGATGGGTCACAGACGACACTGACTGTTAGTGATGAGCGAGACTGCAGTACAAGTGTTTTCAAGAAGTTCAAAGAGTCATGTTTTTCTTTTCTTACATTATTGTTTTTCTGTATTAATTTTTTATAATTTTTATTCCTGTTAATACTTTTCCAAATCTCCCTACCGTTTTAGAGAATATTTAAAAAAAATGTAAAATCGCTTATTTCTGGATCTTACTCAACCGGGTCTCACAATGCAAATTCACCTCAAATATCCATTTAGTTGGTCATTGGCAAGCACTCTCTCATTGTACATGAAAATAACAAAACAAACATTTACTGATCTGGATAAAATTAATAGTTAAATAGTAAGACTCACCCGGGGGTACTCCGCCCCCTAGCGACTGATATATTCTATTCAATATATCCCATTCCATATTTTCCATCTAATTCAAATATCATTCGGTTATATATTGGTTAATAATCTTCAACAACTAGCTAGTGTCACCTGAAATAGTATAGGGGCTTCCCCCGGACGCAACTCTGCAGCTAAACAGATTCGCATCCCAATCGAATAAGCTAATTGGGGTACCTCACTAGTCTCTCTACCCCAACGCCGCATCGTGTCAATCGACAAGACAAGGGAGACCTCAAACTCTCCAGACCAACCTCGAAGGAAAGACGTCACCAGAGGTTTTCTTCCGGTCAAACGACCCGTTGCCTTACAGTACTTGCAACGTTTATAGTCAAAAGACTCTCAACCCCCAAATATCAGCTCTATGACAAAACACAACACAACAGCCGGCTGGCCAGTCTACTACTGAACCGCCGTAGGAAAGCTAAGCCTCCTCTTACATCACAATTTTACCGGATCGTAAATGTTTACATTACTTGCCAATGAATCATACTATTTTCTCTAATCGACTTTAAAATAGAGTGTTTTAGCATTACTAGATAAATAAATAGAGAGTTTCCGAAGGAATGCATATTGTTTATTAGAATAGTGAATAAATAAAAGCATTATTATGACGAACTTATTTTCCAAGTTTTACAAAAACATAAAAAAATTGTTGAATTTTACTCTAAGTCTTAACCAAAAGGCGTTCTTATGGTATAGTTTATCTGGTCAGTTGGAATACATTGGGACTCTTAATTTCGGCACTGTTTTTGTCGGCGCAGTTCTCAGCATCGTCTCGACAAAGGAATTAAGAGTCTCAGTACTTCCAATTGACTTCGGAAATACTATAATATTTTTTCGATTTCATTCTTTGATAGATGGTTCTTATTAATTTTGATTGACGTCATATTTTTTACTACCTACTTTTGAACTATCTCGTTTTTCGATAACAATTATCACCCTTTCCGTAGCATTAAACTGATTAAATTACGTACTAACATTTTAAAACGGCAAAAAATATGATGCTAATTAAAGTAATTTCAATAACAATCTATCAAAGAATGAAATCGGAATGATATTACCCTAGAAACGCCTTTTGATTATTGGGACTAAAATTTAACAATATTTTCATTTTTTTAATTTTCTCTAAAACGGTATAGAAATTGGAAAAAGTGTAAACAAGATTAACCATTTTAGATGATGCAAATTTTTTTATGAAGAATGCATATTTTTTTCTCAAAATGTCAATAATAAAAAAGTTTTTCCTCATATAAAGACAATTCCTGGACATACTGTAGAATAAGTTTTGAACACAAGGAAATCAATAATCTTACAATTGAGATATAAAACAGGTTAGTGACTGAATGAGTTTTTTTCCCTCTCGCTTAAAGTATATTACACACGTACTGGCTCGAAGGACCGGAACGAGAACTCCGGGAACTCAAACAACCCCGGTTCGGCCCCTGTTCGGTGTTCCTCGTCCGTTTTCGAGACGACCGCAGCCGGCGCGCTGTTTTGAATCGAAACGCGGTCCGCGAGCGCGTTAGTTCAGTGCCAGCCGCCGCCGCATTTTACGAGATGGAAGAAGAGCTGCGCTGCTTCGCCTGTAAACAGTTCTATAACAACCCGGTATTGCTGCCGTGCTATCACGGACTCTGCCTGCATTGCGCCCTCAACTTGCAGCAACCGGCCGCCACCAATCACAATGCGACCGCCACCTCAAACGCGGCATCAGTATCCGAAAACGCCGAAAGCGTGGCCTCGGGTTCTTCCGGGGATTACCAGGAATCGGACAAATTGTCCATTCTGAGCGAAACCGATAGTGGGGTAGTGTGCACGTCCAGGCCCAATTCGTACGTGGGAACCCCCAACGGGGCACTGTTCACCAGTGCCCTATCCCTTGCCTGTCCCATTTGTTCCAAAGTTGTTTACTTTGACGACAACGGCGCTCACAATCTTCCCAAGTACCGCGTGATGCAGAACATCGTCGACAAGTACGGGGAATTGAAAAACTTGACGTTAAAGTGTCAGATGTGCGAACAGGAACCTGCTAGGGAAGCGATAGTGATGTGTGAACAATGTGAGGTGCTGTATTGTGAGATATGCAAGGAGTCGTGTCATCCAGCCAGGGGACCTCTGGCCAAACATGTTCTGCACGAACCCAAAAGAGGAAATACGGTTACTGGAAAAGCCAAAGAGGGAAAATGTCCGGAACACTCGGAAGAGACGTTGAACATGTACTGTTTGATTTGTAAAATTAGTGTTTGTGCTTTGTGCTTGATGGATTCCCGACATACCAGCCACGACGTACAGAGTTTGACAATGATGTGCAAAGCCCAAAAGGTAAGGATCCAAAGTATCAACAGATATATGCATATTTCATTTAATCAAAAATTAAAAATAATCTGTGTCAAATGTGGATTACCTCACTTAATCTTATCAAAGGAACAAATATCATTTACTGAAGTTGATAATAATTCCATAACTCCATTGATTTCCTGTATTGTGCCATTTATATAATAATAATAACTCCCGTATATAGCTTTTACCGCCTTGGTAGTAGCAAGGTACAGCTTGCCATGCTAGAGCCGTTCGGTATACAAGGAAGGTAATGTAGCTAGCACTACGCTTCAACCGCCTATTATTACCTCAGGATTGTGAATCCCAAGTACTTATTTAAGGCTGAGTCGACCTAAGTACCAAAACTATTTTTATTTTAATAAAAATAGTCGCCTGATGAAATACCGGGTGTAGGATTCGAACCCACAACCTTGAGATTGGTAGACGAGAGCCTGTACCTCTACGCCACCGGGCACCTAGTGCCATTTATGGATACCAAATTATCAGCTACATCAAATGTTCCGTCAAGAATTTAATAGTTTACCATGCAAACCATATCAGATATCTTATATTGATGTTTTTTTGTTGATTTAAAAATTGTACCATTCAATTTGCATAGATCAGATTACAATATATACAGGGTGAGTTTCCTACGATGTTCTCTGTGGGTATCTCGGAAACTACTGGAGATAGAGAGTCAGTTAAATAGGGAAAGAATTGCAGTTTTATGGGGTCATAAATAAGCGCCTTTCAGATTTTTCAAAAAGTTCATGGCTTACTAGATATTTCGAAAAAAACAAATTTTGGCTATTTTAAAAATTGTCCCTAATTCCATTATAATCTATTTTAGACAAAAAGTTTTCAGATAAAAGTTGTAGATATCACATCCCTAATGAGATTGTGTTCTCCGATTTTTTCTAAAGCCTGTGATTTTTGACATATGACACAAACATATGTTTTTTTTTTGAATGGAAACCATAGTTGGCCATGACTTCATAAACAGCGTCATTTTTTAAGCTTTTCAGCGATATAAGCTATAATATGTTTCTTTCACAAAATTACTGAGTTATAGCCAATTCTTATCTTTCTTGACTAATGTCACTTAGTTAGCCATGGAAACAAGTTCAATCGTCGTTGCTCTCAGAAATATGAAATTGTCATATTCAATCTTTGTGAATTAAAATAAACAAAAATTGTAAATAAGAGTTTTTCAAATGAAGAAAAGCGTGTAGGATTATTGGTTCAACTTTTCTTGGCCATACAGTTTCGAGGATACGTTGACCGGTGAACGTTACTTACGTTTTGTAGAAAGGTTTTCAAGACATGTTAGAAATATTAAATTTATTAATACTCGCCCATTAATAGAGTGGTTCCAACATGACTTTCATTATGACACACCAACCCCAATTCCCCACACAAACACACAATGAAAGAAATGTTAAAAATTATTTATATCATAATTATCTAGACTCAGGGATAGAAAGAGGTGGACCAAATTGCATGGGTCTCCTCGGTCACTTGACCTATCCATTTTTTATACGGTATGGTTAACAACAAGGTTTACAGAAGAACTTATGAATTAAGAGAGGCACTCGAAGAGGCGGAACAGGAGAAGTTTAATTAAGTCGACCGGTCATTCTGTGAGAATAGCTAGAAATTCAGTTTTTAAAAGATGCATTTATGTACTCAAAACAATTGCGGATTTTTTGAAAATTTTCTAAAATAACTTTATAATATAGATTAATAATATATTTTGTCTTTTTATAAGTAATAAATCATAACAAAATTAGAACACCATTGAAAACTGTTCTCTAAAAAATAACTTTCACTGGTCAACGTATCCTCGAAACTGTATGGCCAAAAAAAGTTGAACCAATAATCCTACGCGCTTTTCTTCATTTGAAAAACTCTTATTTACAATTTTTGTTTATTTTAATTCAAAAAGATTGAATGTGACAATTTCATATTTCTGAGAGCAACGACGATTGAACTTGTTTCCATGGCTAACTAAGTGACATTAGTCAAGAAAGATAAGAATTGGCTATAACTCAGTAATTTTGTGAAAGAAACATATTATAGCTTATATCGCTGAAAAGCTTAAAAAATGACGCTGTTTATGAAGTCATGGCCAACTATGGTTTCCATTCAAAAAAAAAACATATGTTTGTGTCATATGTCAAAAATCACAGGCTTTAGAAAAAATCGGAGAACACAAACTCATTAAGAATGTGATATCTACAACTTTTATCTGAACACTTTTTGGTCTAAAATAGATTATAATGGAATTAGGGACAATTTTTAAAATAGCCAAAATTTGTTTTTTTCGAAATATCTAGTAAGCCATGAACTTTTTCAAACATCTGAAAGGTGCATATTTATGAGCCCACAAAACTGCAATTCTTTCCCCATTTAACCGACTCTCTATCTCCAGTAGTTTCCGAGTTGCCCATAGAGAACATCGTAGGAAACTCACCCTGTATAATTAAATTTTACTTTTAGATTTATAAGTCGGGTTAGTCACATCGTTTATAGCTCAAGAACCGCTCGACTGATTTTAATGATTTCTCATTTGTTCGATTCGTCTTCGTCCCGAATACTAGAACAACTATTAAAATGACAGAAAAATTAGATGTGCCACTCCGCCATCTTTAACAATTGACAGTTTAGGTTAGGGATAGCGATTCCAAATCGATTAATCAATGAATGAGTTACTTCAACCAAAAAATCGATTTTTTAAATCGATCTATGCTACCAGTGAATCGATATTTTTTTCTTGAAAATCAAGATTTGGTTCTATCTATTTTTATATGGAGAAATCAAGCGAACCTAACAAAACCTAAGTCTCGCCACATAATTTTTATTCCACTTTCTTTCTATTTCTTTCTATAAATACGTAAAATATTGATATTAATTTAATTCTAGTAAAATGACTGAATACCAACATATCTAATTATCTATTTATTTTATCAAAGCCAGATATTGACAAAACTGCTCCAATTTTATTGCAGTACATAATGCTTTTATCCAAACGCTGCGCCGGCTTTATCTGATGTTAAACATTAATAAATCAAATATTGACTTGCCCTTCCCGAAATTTCGAAGTCCTTGATAGAAAATGTAGCACAAAAAAGACTTTTTGTATGTACGTAGTAATTGTTAAAAAATCACAGTTAGGCTCTTGCTCCTATATTTAGCACCACATACAATAGGTAGTTTTCAAATAGAGTTTTAGATATATTTTTGTCGCACTAAAACATAAGGATGTTATTGTGTTCATTTATTTTCACTTATTTAAAAGCGGTTAACGGCAGTAGGTCACTGTTTTTTCAGTGACGCAACGTATCTTCTTGACGCAATGTTTACGTCACACTTATACCCGTTTTATTTTTTCAGCGTACAGATCGATCATTGATCCTAAATTTTACAAATTTCCACATTCATTGTGTTTATTTATACCGTGTAGTGCATCGGAACATTGGACTTAGGAAATCCCATTATTGACTTCCCTAATTATTTTAGAGAATAATTCTATTTAAGTTTATTGAAGAGCACTAAAACCCACATTCAAAAGAATAACTTTAGATATTTTTGATTAGCTCGTTTACGAGTTATCGCCGATTTCTTTTTAAATATTTCTCCTTTCTTATGGCCCTGAATTTGCTTATGAGCACCAGTCAAGGTAAAAGATAACTGTCAAATGAAGTTGTCATTTCAGAAATTTATCTATTTAGTGCTTTATTATTATTGAAAACTCATTCCTACATCGGAAATCTTAAAGATGTATTTATAAATACAAATTAATATGAATTAAAGTAAAATAAAGTAATCAATTGCAAGGTTAATTATAGTATTAGTACAATATTCAATAACTTATTAATTTAGGTACTATTAAATTGTTAGAACTTTAGGATTTAAGAAGATGTTCAAATATTCCTCCATCGACTGCTAGACAATAACCCAGGCGATCATAAAATTCTCTTCATACATTCGCTAGTTGGTAAACTGAAATTCAATTGCATTCGGCAGAAATAGCATTTTTTAACTCGTCTAGATCTGGGTATTTTTTATTCTTGTATATCCTGTTTTTTTAAATGGCCCCAGAGAAAGAAATCATATGGCGAAATATCAGGAGACCTTGCTGACCAATTTACTGTATGATTTAGGCCAATAACGTTTCCGTTAAAACTATTGTCTAAATATTCCCAAACAGCCAGGGTACTATGTGCCGGGCAGCCATCCATTTGGTACCAAACTTCCTGATTTTCCCTAGCGGCATCATGTAAAGCAGATAAAATATGGTTTTCGAGTAGTTCCAAATAATATTCTGCATTTAAATTCCGCGTAAGAAATAATGGCCCGATAATATTGTGTCCGAATATCCCTGCCCAAACATTTACTTTCTGTGGATATTGCGTCCTTGTGTCGACAAACCTGTGTTCTTTGTTCCAATATCGATAATTTTGAACATTGGGTTCATTATTTAAGGTAAACCTGCATTCGTCAGTGAAACATATGTTTTTTAAAAATTCCCTATCCGTGTTTGCTCTTTCCATCATATCAAAACAAAACGCCTGCCGCCGTATTTCGTCCCCATCTCGTAGCTCTTGGTGCGTTTCATATTTGAAGGAATAGTATTTATGTCGTTTCAAAATTCGAAACGCTGTAGTGTGATCTATTCCTATTTCATCCTCAAGTTTCCTTGTGCTAATCTTTCCATCGTTCTCTTCCATGCACAATAAAACTTCCAAGTCGGTATCATTTCTTGCATCTTCTCTTTGTTCCTGCCTTGCTTCACATCTGCAGTTATTTATTAGGGTACCTTTAGTCTCAAATCTCTGGATATTCCTTGCGATTGAAGATTTTCCAGGTATCGGTCTATTCGGATACAGAGCAGCAAACATGTCCGACACCTTTTGATAACTAATTCCTTGATAATACCATTTAATCATCATACTTTTTCTTCGGTAGTGTAATTCATGGCTAATATTTTCGATGTAAGTATG